ATACTTTCTGACGGCAAAAGGCTAACACTATTAGTACACTCTTGGCTACGCATGTATACACAATTTCGAAGAATATAATTGAAGTGTAGTGTCAGAATCCCAAAAATAAGGAAAACTTTGAATTTGACCTGGATTTTGACCTAGACATTTTTGTGTCCAAATTTTGAAGCTAGATTGCTTTTGAGGTACCCTTCATTTAAAGGCTTTCATTAAATTAAGCTGTACTCGGTCGTATATATGTCGTATTTTACACTTCAAAAAAAATTCCCATTGACTTAACATGGGGCACCAAATTTAGCGATTTTGAGTTTTCAAAACGCCATAACTTCCGATGAGTGTTGGTTTAATGATATTGCAGTTATACAATGCTATTATAATAGAGGTTATTTACAGAGAGGGATTCACTATTGGTTTTATTCCGGGACACATTATGATATTTCCCGAGGGCCCAGGGGGAATCTGGGATTACTGTACCCCTATCAATTTACCTTTTCGGGACCTAAATCCTATTACCAACCTTTTTACTCAATCGGGGAGAACGAATCCAAAGAGAACAATACTTCTACATGTGCGCTGTGCAAGATTTCCAATAGCTTGTCGTGTTTACCGAGAACGAAAGATGTTTGTCCACCATTTTGAATGATACTAACTGGTATCAGGGTCATCAAGCTATGGAACAGGGGTTTATGATAATAGATTGGGTTACTATAGCTTGCAATGTTAAAGGCGATTGAACTATGTTATAAAACAACTTCCAGTACATTATGATATTTAAAAGTATAAATTTTTGAAAATACATATAAAGAATCTTCGCCCGCAGGACGTGCATTTTGAATGCCCGAGAAGAACGCAAATGGGTACTGGCCCGGTGTTGCAACAGTAGCATTTAAAAATCTGTTCCTCTCGAGATTTATGATCTTCTGAAATTATACTATTAATTGGTGTTGTTGCATCGTTGCTCAAATCTAGAGGAGTGTTGTTGCATCTTCGGTTTGGTGTTGTTGCATCAATAGTGAGGAACTAAAACCGTGAACTTCTTGCTTCTTGATGATGCTACATGTATACCAATGACAGTTTCTTTAAATATAGATCGTGCGCTAACTTCACGTGTATGGTTATTGAGAAACTCGTCCTAGAAATGGGTTTAAATTGGGGAAACAACATATCGTACGAAAATCTATCACCGGAAGTCTGGCCATCTTGATGCAACAACACGGTGTTGTTGCATCACGTTACTCCCCAGTGAGAATGTGATGTCTATTGCGTGACGTAATTGAAGTAATGACTATTCATCTGTGATTATCGTGATTCGAAATATTACCTGTTATGAGATGAGACAAAATATTTATTAATCATTCCCAGAGTGACCTCACCTTGCTGAACTTTACGTCCATTGCTACAATTCTATGATAAACAATATGGTGAAATATCATAATTCCTGTGATTAACTGTGGCGTGATAGTTATGCAGTTGATACTGCGTACATGAATAATCAACCCATATTGCTGATATTGCGTATTCCTTATGGTATCTGATGCTGCATTCGTGAACATTAATCCATATTTCATTAAGTGAGATACCATATCCTATCGAGGAATCCCGAATATATACAGTGTGTCCCAAAAAAAAGGAAACCAGCAATAGATTGCTTATTTCTCAAATATGAATAATAATAGGAAAATTTCACAGCTACCATCTGATAGGTTATGATGTCCTTTTTCTTATGATACCAAAGGTGTTTATTTTTCTTCACGGATGACTGAGTTCTAAGAGATTCAAGTGACCATGTCAGAAATTGGTTTGTGCCACTTTTTCTGTCATGAATGGCTGAACAATGAGGGATTAAAATGGCTATGCAAGACCATGTCCTATTCGAAATACACATTTCTGAACAAGCATTCAACATAGCAAGTTCATGCAGCTGACCCAAGATCAAAGAGTATTCGTAGTGCTCCTCCTCATCGTCGGATTATCGTACGGGACAGATTAAGGGCGCTGTTCAACAGAAGAGTGATTGCCTTGAACCACGAGATTGGGTGGCCACCAAGATCCCCAGACCTGACACCCTGCGACTTCTTCCTTTGGGGATATCTTAAGGGTAAAGTCTTCACAACACCACCAAGAGACATTGATGATCTAAGGGCCAGGATTGTCGCAGCAGTGAAGGATTTAAGGGGACAGAGAGACATCATCGGGGATGCAGTACGTGCTATGAGATCATGGGGAGACATTTGCATTGAAAGGAATGGGGGTCATGTTGAAGGACACTGGGGTTAAAACAACTTTAAATGGACATTGGGATTTAAAAGGGGTGTTAAATATGATATGTGTAATTTTAATTGGAATAAATGAGTAAAAGAGTGATATCCTTATGTTTGTTGTTACTTATCACTTTGTAATGATGGTGAAATTGACTTGGCTGAAAGTGGTACAAACTCATTTCTGACATGGTCACTTAAATCCCTTATAACTCAGTCATCCGTGAAGGAAAATAGACAACTTTGGTATCGTAAGAAAGAGGACATCATAATCTATCAGATGGTAGCTGTGAAATTTTCCTATCATTATTCATATTTGAGAAATAAGCAATCTATTGCTGGTTTCCTTTTTTTGGGACACCCTGTATAAGCATCTCGCAGTGATTGTGATATACAGGGTGATCATAAAACTATAGATCTACAATATCTCCTGATAAACAATTGAGTATTCGAAATATGAACAATACTAGTAAAATTTGTGTATAATCAAGTTTGGAGTGTTTAGAGTAATTAACCGGAACGCAGATAGATCTGTTAAGTAGGATAGGCGTTAGGTGCTAGTTGGTGTACATATTGCTGTGTTATTCATGTTCTTATTTTATATTTATGCGAACACAAGCTGTATTTTAATAAATGTTAATATTATGTTATTTTAATTGAATATTTTGTCAGGTCATTAAACCATACCCGGGAAATCTTGACACATATTTTTTATGAATATGATGAAAAGAAGCTCACTTAAGCTTGTAACCTAGAGAATAATATCAAATTAAGAGTCAGGTAACCTATTACATTAACTGTACATTAACTATGGGTGAAATTTACACCCTCCTATACATATTGGAACGCCCGATATCAACTGAAATCGGTTTAGGAAAAGGCCATGGAACCAAACGAAGAGACACGACAACTTGATAGTATTTTTTTAGAGTGGGATGAAAATATTTGCAACACTTCTTTGCCATGTGGTATTTGTATAGAGCTAGACGAGAGTTGTATGAAATTGCAAATAAATATACAGTGCGTATCAAAAAAACGCAACAGATTGTTATCTCGAAAAAGCACAAAATAAGTGATAACAGCATTGATTTCATTCAATGCACCATAAAGCCACGTGTCTCCTCTTTACAATGGTATATCATTATGTTGTTATTTGCAAATTGGGGCAAAATTCAGCTCGGTCCCAAGTTTTAAACATTGCAAAAGTCAGTACAAGGGGCATATGGGGCTATTGGAAGAAGGTGTGACAGGTGTGGCATAGACAGTAAAGTGTTCATACTCATATTCTTGCAAGAATACGTCCTATACCCCTCCAAATTGCCACCACTTCCTTGCACATAAAGATGCGCTCATCTGTCCACGTCATGCATGGTTTAGCCTTGAGTCATCTGTGGGTTAAAGCAGAGAAAAGCAGCCCATGGGCAATTCTTTCTCGAGGTTTTGCAATATAGGGAACAACTTAGCCTTGCCCAAGTCGGTATTTTTTACTTATCTGATCTTGAATTTTTACCACCTTGTACAATTCAATACATCGCCGCTGCTATTATGCTAAGTTATTCAGCGGTTTCGAGATTTCCATAATACGTACGCTGTCAGGGATATCGCGAAACCTTATTGATTGACAAGATCGCATGGTCACTACGTGTGACTTCAGGCTGATTGACCAATCAAAACGTTAGGTTGACCTGCATAAACTAAGAACCTGTCTACGGCTTGAAATTCAATAATCTGATCCCGGGGATCTGATTGAGTGTTTCTTTAGAGTTACAATATATAAATGTACATTTGAATGTATGCAGTCATTAATATAAATTCGAACATGACTGTATTCACACCTTCTATAAACTGTAAACAAAGTCAACAGTTCACCCGGGGTATATTCGCGAAGAATACCCCTGGTAATAAGTGTAATGTGTGACGTCATAACGGTGGGTCGTAGTAATGGCGGATCATCATTGAATATTCGAAACCTTTTGATGAGTTTTCATGTTCGAATCGTAATATAGACCGAAGAGCAGGGGTAATATCGTCGAATGTACCCCTAAGGGCTAGGCACAAAAGCTTTCGAACCCCTCACTCCCTTCGGTCGTTCGGGGTACAGAAATAGTTTGTGCCTAGTCCTGCGGGGTGTATTCGACAATATAACCCCTGCTCTTCGGTCTATATTTCTTAATTAAATCATGCGATTCAATGTTGATTTAAAACTGAATTAGCGAAGAAAATGCACGAATACCGAGTACGGTCATATAGTCGTCGATCTGATTCAGTGATTGAATCTCAGCTTAGATGTTCGATCATTTGAATTCAGCGTTCGTTTCAACGTTTCCTTTTGAAATCTTCTCACCCCCGGGTATCCGATCGATGCCCCGGCATCCACTAAACTCTGATTGATATTTATCTGATAAAATATTTGTGTTTTGCATGATGAATTCGTGCAAGATTTGTTCGTGAAAAGTCCCTGTGAAAATGTACTTGTTTTTGACCGTGCATAATAATGAGCTAACGCGTCAGTGCTGTCGTTGATTGGTCACATTTTACCGACATAAACATTGGGTCGGTAAAGCACGTGGCTTTCTCAGCTCTTGGGTACAAGGCGGTCATAAAAGAAATCAAGATAAGTAAAAGAGACCGACTTCGGCAAGGCTAGAAACAACTTAAAATAAAAATTTTAGGGTCGTTTTGCCCCTTCCCCTAACATTTTTTCACACTATCACATTTTTTGTAAAAATATCAACCTTACAACGTAATAATATAAGACGAATCCCATTACCATTAAAGTATCGTTGAATAACCTACGTCATAATGAAATCATATGTTGACGACCATAATTCACCACAACAACGAGCTACAAAACACAAATTACAAATAACAAATGAGGAAATAATGAATGTCCAATGGACCAATAATTACTTTGGAGACGCTGACAAATACAATACAAGACTGCGCGGGAAATAATGATTATTAATAGGATGATATTGGGAACATGGCTGATTATGATGCTTTTGATGCAGACAACACAGAACCTAATCAAATTGGCTCAATTAGAGACCTACTAAACCTTTTAACAGAAGACCATCCATCCGGCCATGCAAGTATGATTGACGTTCTTGTAGTATCCCTAATGTTATTTTACTTCGGGCCGAAGATCGCCATCATCGCCGTTCTGTATAGCATATTCATAACCATACTACAGTCAAGCGATCCCCCAACCCAGGGTCAGAATGAGACATTCATGATTCAAACGTACGAACAGTTCATGTCCATTGACAGAGGTCCAGGTTTTATAGACTTATTGATTCTTATTGTTATGGTGTGGTGTATGGGCGCAACGAGTTCCATGACTGCTGTTATGTTTGGAGGACTGATGGCCTGGAAAAGGATACATACTAACAACACTGCTATACGCATGCGCAGCGTTAATGGAGAAGAGAATGCAACCATCGCTGAGAACGTGAGGCATTTCATGGATATGGAAGTGGTAGCGTTCACTACTGAGGTACACAATAAGACATTTTGGGGACTAATCGGAATACTTTACTTATCCTATGTGACACCACTGTTTGAGTCAACGTATTCACTTTTTCCTCAATTCATCACGTCTATTGTCTTGAACATATCTTCCACATATTTTTCTTTGCCACTACAACAACTTTATCTCCGTCGACTCCATTTGAGTAATGACTTTGTCCGTCGTGTGTTTTAACGGTTTCAATAATTATATTTATTTAAAATGTTTTGTCAATTATAGTGTCCTTGTAGTTGTATAAACTTTCTTTTCGAATTCCCGCTGCTGGCTGCACTCGGTCGATTCGTTTTATATGTCTCTGAATTGATCGTGTACTGTACGTCACTCAATCTGTTTCAAGGAATTTTGATTGCTGTGTCTTTTGTAACTTTGCTTTCTAGAATTCTAGTAGAGTTGTTATCCCATTTGTGTCCGTGTGGTCAGTTGCTTTAATCATACGTTATGTTTTTGTTGCAGCTACGAGATACTTTACGTGCCTGGGAGAGTTTTCGAGGAAACACGAGACGGATCATCAGACAAGTAAAAAGAAATCTGACCGAGGAAAGAAACAAACACAAAACAAGTGAAGACAATGAGACATATCTAACATTAACTGTCTCTAGAAGGAGAAGGCTTAGCTTGTAAAGTGCAAACATTAGCATTAATCACACACCATTATAAATGTTTATAGTTTCATTAATGATATTAGATAATTTGTTTGTTATATCGTTTCACACAATAAATACACTTAGGCACTGACAGCGAATTCATTAGGACAATATAAGATGTATATGCATTGTACAGATAACATCTTTCGGTTCACTCATCAGTCCATCAGTCATCATTTATATCAGAACTCATTAGTATCTACGATCCATCTTTAGCCCCACAATCATACGTTTAACTTAATGAATCTTCATTAAATTTCCATTCAAAATCAGTGAGGGGAACTTTTTGGTACAAGAATGATTATTTTACTGAATTCTCGACAGTTGCGACGGAGTTTTATACTAAAATGAAAAAATCAATGATACTGCGTATTTTTATAAAACTTTTAATCTGCTTTGATCATTATATGATCGATCAAGCTTACAATGTGTTATGTCTTCAATGTTGTTTTAAGCTCTCAAGAAAAGTATTTCCCATGTTAGTTATACTCAATATCCGTACCGTTCAGCATCTTCAAGGGTCATCATAATACCCGATAACTATATCTGCACCAAATACACGACAATCTATTAATGCCAATCAACCGTTGTTGGTATCGCCCCTTTGTGGTCCCTTCTTCATGCCATTGCCTCTGTTGAGATATAACTCACTCATTCACTTTTTTTCACATTGTACAAACGGAAGTGTATGACGTGCCAGATTTGTAATTACTCGTTTATGATGAATTTTTACACCCATTATATGAAACTTTTCTTTTTAGAAACATCAATCATGCTAAATGTACACTTTGGTTTGGTTAAATATTATCAATTTTGTGAAAACAGATCACTCTTTTTGAGATGATACAGAACGTCTAATCATCTAAAAATCAAATGAAGAAAATAAGTGCTACTAACGGTACCTCAACGTAGTTGGTGAATTTTTTATGAGAGACCTATATTCTTGGAAAAGACACAATAAATGACTAGCCGTAAATTTGACGCCCTTTTCAACAATGTACATTACAACTGAATGAAATCGTAGGCGTCTTTGCACACGACGTGAGGGAAAATCCCTGGGGGAGAACGTGGCGTGACACTGATATTCTAGACAATTGTACAGGGTGACAAAGAAACTGGAACCCATGAATCATCAAATTTCTCGGAAAGTATTATACAAGTTGGTGCCACACCCCACACCTTAAATGAGTCCATTCGATGGCTCCAGGCTCACTTTTGTGATCAATTAATCAGTCGCCGTACCCACCACATCTGGGCCCCCACACCCCTGAATTGAACCCCCCCCCCCAGATTTTCATCTGTGGGGTTATCTCAAGGATAATGTGTACACAGATAGACCACTTACCATTGATGACCTCAAACTCAACATTGGAAGACTAATTAGAGAGATAGAGATGAATGCAGTCAGGTCATTGACAATTTTGCAAGAAAAATCACGCTCTTCATCCGACGTCGTGGTGCACATTTGGAGCACATTATCTAAACGTGCCTCATTTGGAAACTAATTATGCTAGAATGCTCAAACTTTGACATCTTGTCATACAATCAGTTGACTATACATGTGCGAAATAACAAAGCTCAATATGCATACTTGACGAAGTTATTTAGACTTAAGTGGGTTCCAGTTTTTTGTCACCCTGTATATCGAATAACAATTTATTGTCTTCATTTTGATTTGTAAAGCTGTTGCTGTAATTGGTTAACTGCAATTAGATGCCATATCAAACAGGATTTAAAGAATCATGTTTATTATAAGACTATAAAAATAGTTTGAAAATTCGTCCTTCTACAGGTTACTTGTTATCGTTGTAGTGTCGTTTTTAGCAAGAAAAACAGAAATCGTAGATTTCTTTTCTTGATTCTATGTTTCAAGTTTTACTCATCTGAACAAAGCCCGGATGACAAAACAGAGCCCGGATGTTGAATGACGTCATATTTTGAAAGTTTGTTTTTGCTCGCCTGATTTCACTGATTCTTTCGACCTACTTGCACTTCAAATCAACTTTAATCTTATGGCGGCGGAAACATATTACTTTTCTCGATACTTTAGACATATGTAATGTAATAAGCAATGGTAAACTTTATAGAAATTACTGAAACGAATTTACTAGTTTTGTTGCCGTTCTGGATATTATTAGTATTTTAATGAAATTTTATTTAAAATGACCGAGTCAAAACCATTTCTCGAACAGTTTTTAGCCCCCCTCCATTTTCATCATGTGAAAAACTCAAGGGTTTCTAGGATTCTTAATAACATGTACATGTCATACCTGTTTGCGGCTCCATTTTTTCTTGCAATTTTTACAGAATGGATTTACTTAGTGTTTTGTTATCATAGGTAATATCAACAATTTATATGAAGAATGCAATTGAACATCTTATTCATACTTGGAATCAGCATTTAACCTTGTATTCGCGAATGCAACTAACGCCTGTCGGCTACCGGATTAACTAACTATTTTATTCGAAATTTGTTTAAATATGTTTAGTACCTGCCACTATTCCATTGAATTATTCATATTTAAATGAGTTGATCATAAAATAGTAAGTTAATCCGGTAGCCGCTAGCCGCTATTTGCATTCGCGAGCTAAGATGGTCCATATTATCAGCCAACGGGCGAAATAGAATGGAAAGGGTCACGCCGGGGTTTCGGGCTTATTAAGAGCTTCCCCAATTTTTCCTTGTCCCAGTGTCCTGTCGATGACTATTGGAAACAACCTATTTTCGTTCTTTTGATGCATGAGTTAAATGATCCGGAACAAACTATTATATGAAATGCCAATACATCCAACCGTAATTTCCTTATAATTTAATTACGAAAACACACTTAAGGTCCCTGGCCAGATGGTAAAGCAGACATCCTTGCCAATTGTATTCATTCAGTAACTGGCCCATGAAATACTAATTTTTCATTCTATTGTTGCCTTAATCTACTGGTTTTCAAGACTCATGTGAAATAACAGTTTAATTGGCAATCCGATTCTCTTTAATATATTTTGCTTATGTGAAAATGCTATAGTTATCCTCGAAATGCATTAATAACGACTGGGGAATAATAAACAACGATTTCATTTTGAGGGTATATACTTTAAAAAGCTACCAAAAATACAACGCTCTAATATTGCAATCGTTTTTAAATTGTGATGGGTCTTTTTGAACTTTTGTGTCTTCAGTTAGTATGTACATGTATAATGAGTTATTAAACTTTTTTAACGTGCTAAATATTTTACTGCCTATTTTAGGAAGGGGTAAGGGGCCCATGCATGGCATTGGCAACACAATAGGGTACTCCACGATCATTTACTTGCCGCAATGCGATTTTTTAAACTTAGATATCATCTACTGTAAAACCCTCCCTTACAACAAACATATCAAAATAAGATAGCTCTACCACTTTTTTTTGTCAGGAATCAAGCAAGGGAAACTATAAAAAATGACTCATTAACGCTTTCGATTCACCAATTGTCGCCCAAATTCACATGTTTTTCAAGATCAATGTCACATTACTAAACATAGAATAACCATAGTAAAATATTTACCTATCTGATATTCTTTGATAGCTCTGCATGTTTGAAAAACACAAAACACAATTGGTCTGAACCAGCCAATTCCATCATATAATCGATGTGAAAATGGAATTGTCTGATAAAAATGTCCTGAACAAAATTGAAGATGATGAACACTAACCCTTATCATTTCTTTTCAAAATGTAAAGTACCTACCTAACTAAATGTCTTTGTAAGAAAAAGTAATTATATTTCGAGATGTTTCGGTAATGAAAATCTGATCTTTACATGTGATAGGAAGTGCCACACCCACTTTTGAAAAATATTGTCTCTTGCTTCGACAAAACCCAGGACAAAAGAACACTAACAAATGGTTTTAAAGTTTTTATATCCTTTGTTGTTCATTAAAATATCAGAAAACCATATCTGACAAAATCTTTAACACTATTGTAAAAACATTTAAACCACCAAGGAACATCCTTGAATGGATTAGTTACTTCTCTCGCACTACTTTTGGCGGACTAATCCTAGGATCGGCTGCTAGCACATGAAAGCTCGTAAGGTTAGGAGCAAACCCGTTTACTAAACCTGCCATTCGATTACCTTATCATAAATAGACGAGTCGTGTTAAAGTGCATTTCAGAGATACATAGATGAGCAATTTTTCATTTTCAATCATTGGTGAATGCGGCGAAATGTTTATTGGGGCAATTATACTTAGAAGTCATCAAGCAATGTTGAAGAATAGGAGTGGGCGTGTGCGTATACCCATTTGTAGAATGGTTCATTACAAAGAATGGCAAAGTTGACAACCTTTAAAGATTATTTGTACAATTTACTATTTGTGTAAATATCTGAATTGAATCTTAAGTAACTGTTTAATCATCCCAACTGACTTTTATAGGCCATTATCCTTCTCCTGATGAGTTCTATTGCGTCTCATAGAACTAATCGCGAAACGTATAATGAGAAGTGGTCTTTAAAATAACTCCACTCCTAGTCACAAGACGTGTCTTGCTCCGAGGCCAGAGGATAATAACCAAGTCCGGAGAGGTAACACATTCTATAAGTGACTAAGTTCTCCATGGAATATATCGTCTTTTGGTCTAAATGCGTCATTCATGACACTTGTCTTCTTGATGTAAAGAAACTATACTCTCTCAGGGATTGCTGAGGATTTGACGCATTCGATTTAGTAAAAACAAATGTGATTGCTCAAAATCTCAGATTCTGATTCGTATTGCCTCGAAATATGATGACAAAACTTCTACTTTTGATGTTTATATGCTCCAAATACTAGTAACACCACATGGCATTTACGTTAGTACTTTATTTCGAGTCTAGACTAGTCTTATTTCTGATCGCTCCTTTGAATGTTTTTTGTGATCAGTTTGCCGGGCGGGGACGGACTGGTTTTTGACATTCTCGATAAATTGATTTTCCGCCATAAAAATTTGATCTGCAACGTCTTGTATTTCCAGGCGAACCATTTGACGGATAGATTTCACATTTTTTAGGAATGCTTCGTTGTATTAAACTTATTGGTTTTTGGCCAATATGTGTTAATGTCAAGGCAGCCGGTCCTAAAATCCTGTTTTTAAACTCTTGTCTACGCGTTTTCAGGAGATACATGTACGTTCGACGGATTGATTAAAAACTTTTAGGGATGATTCTTCATAAGAAAATTTAGAACTCATTTGTTTTTAGCATTCTGGGTCAATGAAAAGTCAACCATTTTTGATTTTCCGTCCTTTAATCTTGACGTTTCAAGTTAAAACGTTTGATTGATTGATCTGAAATTTTTAGAGGTCTTTTGGTATGAAATTAATTTTGGGGCATTCCGGGTAAATGCTAAGGAGGCCATTTTGGAATTTCCAATCT